ATGGCTTCATTTTAGTTACAGCATTTGTCATTTTCTGAAGATTTTTGCTGGCTCCCAGGTTTGATTCAAGAACCCATAGAAATATTCCAGATAAATGAGATTGAATCCGCACTGCCTTCTCTTCTTCCTCCTGCCTAATCTGGAAGTAATTCCTAATTCTGCTGTTAGCAACTATGCATAATCAACCATACAGACTGTTCTTCAAATTTTTTTTTTCTTTTTGGTGAAATACCCTTTGGGAGAAGACCCCTCGGGAGTTAGTGTGACCTTTCTCTTGCTCTGTTCATGGGCACAGCCCCTCCGCTGAGATCCCAGCCTTGCGATCCCCCAGCCTTTCCCATTGCTTTGACTCTCCCCAGAGGGAACTACTCAGCTTTGGCTGCATCTGTGATTCCATCTTCCACAATGTGGGTACAGTCAGGGGTGAGCTTCAGAACCTGCTTCTTTTGCTCCCTCACCCCCCAGCTTTTTCACTGGCACCCTGATGGCAGCAGGCAGAAAGGGCAAAGTTCCTTTTTTTTGGTCTTCCTTGGCACCCCCAACTAGAAAATGGGGTCCCGGGAGGCTTTATCTGGCTTGTTTCTAGTATATCTCCCCTTTTGTGTTAGGACTGGATCGATAGTACATTCAGCAAAAGTAAATACCAGATGATGAATAAATGAATGAGTGAGCAAGCCTTCACCGAGCGAGTCAGGAGAGAGCGTTTTAGGAACAGATGGAGCAAGGAAATGACAACATGGTAACTGCCACATCAGCTCCCACCTCCTGAGGGACCCTTTTGCTCCTCCCCACAGCTCTGCGGGGTGAAGTCCTTTCACATAGACATTGCAGGCGAGAAAACTGAGGCTTAACGATCTTCGGAGTCACTGCTCAGTGAGTTCAGAAGTGACAACTATGGAAGCTAAGAGCAGAAAATTCTGGAAGGAGGCATCACAAGACCAGAAACTGACTCACACACAGATGGACGGCCAGAAGGTGGAGGTCAGAGTAGAAATGATTAACACAATTGTCAAACTTAGAAAAGTAAAGTATCTGGAGGTGCAGACTGAGGTGGGACCAGGTGGAGAATATGGAGACTGAGGGCCATTGTAAAAAAAAAAATCCTGGTGGTGTAGGGGTTCAGTCTCAGCATTATCAAGCTATCCCAGCTACTGTGACGTGTGCTCCATCCAGGGAGTGACTCAGGGCTCAGCAGACTTCTCCAGTCCCACCCGTGGCTCCCCTCCCTCCGCAGTATATTTCAGTGGATCTGTCTGTTTTGCTCCCCGCGCTGCCTCTGGTAAATTCTCTCCCAACCCCACCTCTGGCCTGCACCACAGTTTTTGTATGCATAAATAAATAAATCTTTTTTTTAATTTGTACAGAACTGGGACACAGGCCAGAGATGCAGGGGAGGTGAGAGGATTCACCAGAGACACAGCGAGGAGCAGAACAGGCAGATCGACGAAGTACACTGCTGAGGGGAGCAGCGGGCGGGTCAGGAGAGGTCTGCCAC